CGACAGTTCGGCCGCGAACCAGTCTAGCCGTGCGTGAAAATCTCAGCGGGCGCAGGCCATAGCATAATTTGCAAGCGCTAGCTGCCTAGCATACATGCCATTACATTGTATCAAGCGAACCAGACAATGCGTCTAGACGGTCAAAACGGGGACGGAAGTTATTTATGGTGGACATAATTCCTTTGATTTGATTGGCTTCGATTATATCCGGGCATATAATCCTCGCTTCCCATTGGTCGATTTATGGTGACCATAAATATGATTTATGGTGACCATAAATATGTAGTCATGTATTCTTGATTTTTGTCCACCGTGGCCAACCATACACGACAGGCAGACACACTGCCAACTCACGAACTCGCGCCGAGCCGCGGAGCACACGACTGGGAGAGACAGAGATGGCTACAATATTAACTCGTAGAATAGCTAAGAGAAGTTAAACGTGTAATCATCTAACGAGGTAACGTAAACGTGACACGAGCAATATATATTATATATATCTATACATATTTGAGATACGTGCAGTGAACGTTATTCCTTTTATTCGTATATGAATCATGATGAATAAAACCATCAGTTGTATAAAGACTATCTAAGGACTTGCATTCATTTCACTCTAGGGTTTTCTTGCTACTGCATCACCGTCCTACCTTCGCGGTAGGAGCGGAAAATTATCCCGACACAAATAAATTACACGTGCTAACCACAGCACGTGTAAAAATTCAGTGTGGCCACCCCTATAGGGCCACTACACTAGCACGGCTAATGTCCATAATGATGGAGCCGGCAATGTTTTCTAAATTAAGTCTCTACAACTCAGCTCAGTTACTCCAGAGCACTTAAATCAATGGATGAATATATATAAACACGTAGATATGGTTACAGTCCTATAGACCGAAGGCCCGATAGACCGAAGGTTTATTCGAATACGCAGTGGCTACACGTCCGGAATCGGTTGCCTAGCCTCCAGGCTACGCATCCGGACATCCACTGATGCCGTATTCGAACGTGAATATGCCGCACATCCACCGATGCCACTATAAATCATATGATGCCACTATAAACCATATATATATGCCCTAACCCTAACCCTAACCCTTTGCAATATTCGGTCTATCGGACCTTCGGTCTATAGGGCTGCCCCCCGTAGATATATAGAGAGATAGATAGATAGATAAATAGATAAATAAATAGATAGCTATAGATAGATAAATAGATAGATGGATGATCATGGGTGGATATATATATATAGATCGATAGATAGATAGATAGATAGGCCTAGATAGTAGATAGATAGATTTTTTGGTATTTTTCCAAGTGGTCGCCAACTGAGGCTGAGAGCGTCTGTGTCCCCCGGGGTACTGCCCTGGTACTATCTAATATGCCGGACCGTACCTCGCCTACTCCACTAACGAGTCTAGGGAGTCGACTACACCTACTCCCTAACCCTAACCATATCAGATAGTTACCAGGGTACGTTCCAGTATACCGGACCGTACCCAGGGTACGTTCCGGAAGTACCCTGGGGGACATAGACCTTATGAGCCCAATTGAGCGCTTTATTTCCCGGGCTACGCCGGGCGTCATACAAAAATTCGACGCATTTGTCTATGGTAGGATATTGGGCCCTAGAGAATAGTGTCAGCTTATAGATTTCTTGGGCAAAATTTATCAGACTAGCACTGGGAGTCCAAATCATTTAAAGAGCAGACTAAATGGCTAACAGTTGACAGGTAAGCAATACTGAGGATGGGGAATGGTAATGTATCTTTATTGTAAACTTCTACATCTACTCGAAAATATAGATTAAGTAGGTTACTGCATAAATCAGGGAGTTGTAAGTTCGAGATGAACAATGCATCCATTTTCTCTACATAGGTATCAAACAGAACTACCGGAAGCCATAAAACAGCGCAAGCACCCGCACATCACATATGACGAATTAGTAAAACTCATGAAGTGGAAGCTAAAGGTATTCGTGTATTATTATGAATAAATTTGAGACAAGCGTAACAAAGTTGTCAGAAAAATACCACTAAATAAAACCGTTTTAGCGAGGAAAGTTTCGACCAAGACTTCAGCAACTAGTGGGGAGCAACACAGAGGAAGAAGTAATGGAGGCAAGCACAAAAGCATTTGCAGTCATGCCAGATATCAAGACAGCTATTCAGAGTTTGGCTGTCTTAAGGGGCGTGGGACCAGCCACTGCATCAGGTATAGGTGTATTGTATATATCACGAGAGGATGAATGACAATTCATAAATTAAATATTTTATTAGTGTGTCGGTACAGCCATATAATTTAATATGCTTGCCTGTGGGTTCTAAAACCTTACAGGAAACCCCTCAATTATGGATTAAAAATGAATATTGTTATTGCTCATTTCAGCTGTGTTAGCAGCAGGAGATCCTGAACATGCAGCCTTTATGGCAGACGAGGCCCTTCAGGCCATTCCTGGGCTGCAGCCAATAGCCTACAAATTGGAGAACTACCTGGAGTATCATGAACAAATAAGGAAATGCGTCACTCTACTGAAAAGAACAGGTTTATTTTCATTTGTATTCTAGTATAATGGAGAGTAGGAGATATTGATAGGAACTTGTGCGCTTCCTTCCTGTAACATGAAGTCATCTCTATCATACTAAAAATGAAATGTGATCATGGAGAAAGCATCAGTTGACATGAGATGATACTGAAATTGCCATCATGGCTCTTACACAGATGATTCCTGGAATTCTCACATGGTGGAGTTGGCTCTATGGACAGGGCAAGTTCTTGGCAAACTAGAGCCAGAATGCTTGCCAGCGATCAACATTTCAATGCAAAAGAGGAAAAGCACCGAAAACTCTACAAGGAAGATGAAACGCAATAAAGAAGACAAAACTTGAAGGACACTGATAAAACGATTCTAGCTGCCTAAAGGTCAAAAGCGGGTTAACTATTCTTTTTTTACATTTCAGTACACATCATACATGAAGGAATATAAATTGGATAGAATAAAGAGTTTATAATATTTACTTATTTTACTTATATTTACTTAATATTTATTTACACATTGTTATTTATGCACACAAACAGCTGATCATGATATAAAAACTCGAACATTCCATAGAAACTTTTGATGTTTATTTCCACAAACACATCTCTTCACCTACCCCAACCTTGTACCAGTTTTTTAATTTTCTCTTGGGCCTAGTAATCGGTCGTAGTAAGCTCACATATTGTGCGCAGTTGGGGGAAACAATCAAATACAGTCCGACCTCCTTTATCCGGCCACGTCGGGACCGGCACCCATCCGGATATGGGATTTGGCCGGATATGAGAGTTATGCTCAAACACATCATTTCTATGCAGTTCAGTAGGGTTTATGCATGTGATAATGTATTTACTCGTTGCTATGATTATTTGTAACAAACTGTCGTCTTTTATGGTTTATATGAAATGGAAATAAAATGAAATATAACAGAAATTTTACCGGAGGCATAGCGAACACGAGCGGACAACGCGCACGCGCGCGCACACATGCACGGTTGGTACATCGCGAGAGTTTTGAGCGAGATTTTTAGGTGGAAATTAATGAAAAGCAGAGAACCTACACTGCGAGATCGCGGCCGGTTAATAGAGATTGCCGGATAAAGGAGGTCGGACTGTATATGTAGATTTTTATGAATCAACTGTGATTAATTAATAATTAAAGATGAATTATACTACTATAATGAATGTTGCTGGAATGCCTAGCATTGCACAAATATGGCATCTTCAGATTCTGAAGAAAATTATATACCGATAATGAATACAGTAAATACATTATCCATTACAGAATTGGAAGAGGAGAAAAATCAAAAATAGTAAATCATTATATATCAGCACCTGTTACGATGAGACGTCTGTTGTTACATAACTGTTACTGAATAGATCAGCAATTAGCTGCCTCGCACCTGATTACCAGACTAACGACAGTTTGCTCAACATTGTGCAGCATTCACTAGCTTAGACAGATCACGTGAATAAACCTACTCTTTCTGCCGTCAAAGCCATTGACGATTTCACAGACAAATGTATTCACTCGTCTACACAAGATTGACCTTTTCTTTTTTCTTTTCATTTTTCATTGTATGTACAACCTTATGCTGCAGACATCAACAGGATGATAATTGCTGGAAACTTGGTAAGCGAGGCCCGTTTCATGTTCGTCAATCACTGTCACCTTTCTAAAACGATCTTATTTGCGAAGTAATTTTATCAATCATTTCAGGGGTGGTTTTGTAAAAATTCAAAATGTTTAAGTGCTTTTTTAAATGTGTATACATACAGTATAGTCATACACATCTACAGCAGATTCCGTAGGAAGATTTTATGTGAACGTCTTACTGAAATAGATAGTTGCAATAATTTGATGCCGGTAAGTCTCAGAAACAAGAACATCTACATGTGCCCCTTTAAGTACAGACCACCGTCAGCCGGGCGTGCATTGATGCCACTTGTTATTAAGTACTGTTCTTGGCGAGCCACTCGCGGATGGCAGACTCATCCCTCTGCCGCCAGGTGGCATTGAGCCGGATGTTCTCGCAGCTCTGCTGGATTGTGCGCTGCGCAGCCGGCGCCGGGTGATCAACGAAGAAGCCCTACAGAAGACGGAGTATTAGCAGATCATGTGCATACCCTTCAACCCTGTAAGACACATGCGTACACACCACTGACAGTACTATACAAACTATACATATTTGTGTATTGCATCGAACCAGCATTCTCCAAGCAGCACTTTACCTCCACTTCATTGGCAACCGTTCTACACAAACATTTGCGACAACATAACACAACACTTAACATGAAATTGCAAATTAGTTGCGCACACCTCGACTTCCTTGGCCATGTCATTGCTGGCGAAGTGGTATGTGGTAGACATGATGAGGCGAGAGAGGAGGAAGCCCCCACTGTATCGGTTGGCCAGCTCGCTCCAGTTTTCCTTGATGAATTCCCATGCCATTTGGCGACCAAGCTTGCTGCACGTTGCACTGATGATGACAAACACTGTGTCCTGGCTGCGCACTTCGTCCTGTGAGAGAAAGAGGAGTAGAAAAAGAAGACGACAAGATGCCAGTTGCAACTGTTTGCCTCCTCGCATTCCTCTAGCAAATTCGTACGAATTATCCACAGGCTGCTTGCATTGTTGCGAACCAAATATGAAGAACAACGGTTGTATATTAGTCTTTTTAATCCTAGCACAATTGCAAATGAACACGACTGAAAAAGAAGAACAAGTGCCGCAGAGCGACAGCGCTCACCTGACGGCAGGTGTTCTGGTGCTAAACTCGGGGGCAATCGAATCAAGAGCACCCTCCCATCGCCGCGTTTGCTCTCATTCTTTCTCTTTCGCTCTCGCTCTTGCTCTCTCTTCCCTTCGCGCTCTCTCTCTCGCTCGATCACACTCTCCCTCTCTCTCTCTCTCTCTCTCTCTCTCTCTCTCTCTCTC